ATATAAAAGGGTTGGATTCTTTTTGCAGCTTTTGTGTCTTAGGAAAAGAAAAATTAAAGAAAGAGCTGTTCTCTTGGTCACTAGGTCTTTTTTTAGACCTGCAGGGAAGTCATAGTAACAGGCTCCATGTCTGATTTGATTCCATGGCAACAAAGTGTTGTGGCTTTATTAGAGGAGAGGCTAGTATGCCAAGAGAGATAAAAATCAGAGTATGGAAAATGTCCAACCAGATGAATGTGTTTTTTTCGGTTCACGTGCCCTGGAACGGAAAGGTTTCCGAATTGGCGTTAGTCTCCATTACAAATTGGAATCCCACTGGGTTATCATTAGGTCATAGGGGTCAGTGGTCATTTCAGAAAGATCTGTCTGCATCTTTGCTTTTATTCATTCATTCGCCCTTTTTTATATCTTGGTTAAAAAATATTAATTCAAAATTATAATGATAAGAACCTGACTGGAGGTTATTCTGATCTCAGAGGTAGAAAAGAAATGTAGCACATTCTTTGTAAAGCTGATTACAGCTGTGGATTGTGAGACGGTGTGTAAGGGCCAGTGAGAGGCAATTGTAACTCGATTGGACTCTCCCTGCGTTAAAGCTTGCTGTGTTCTGTTGGAGCTGGGTGTTTCATTTCCCATCCACATATCTCATTGATGGGTTCAGGGGTGCTGGTTCCAGGGCAAGGCTGTGGAGTCTCTGTAGGAGTGTCCTCTCCTCTTTGCCAGCAGCAAGGTGCAGGCTGATGCTGTCACCCAAAGTGGGCGATTATTAGAATTATTTGCTAAAGGTTCTAATATTTGACCAAGAAATCGTGAGATCTGAGGACTTCGAATCACCCTCACCTGGGTACAAATGTGTGGGGCTGTATTTACTTTTCTGTCAAATGTGCTGTTTCATATTTCTCACCCTGATGTTCAAAGTGAAAGAATCCAGGGGCAGGCAGATGTTGGACAGCTTTCAGCACCAGTCACCCTTTAAACCAGTGGTGGGTTCTGACATGCCCTCTGGGTTCAGGCTTCCTTAGTCACTTACAGCTTCATCATGGTGAATCAGAAACTTCACAGATACTCATGATAAACAATAGTTTGAGAGGCAAGAATTAGCTCTCTAGGTTTTCGGTGTCCCAGCTATCATTCGTCGGCTGTTAAGTCCTTGGGAAAATTATTTCATTTCTTGGGCCATGATTCCTTGTCTTAAAATGAAGACTTTGACCTAAATTGGTGTTTCTCACACTTCCCTATTTCTAAGAATAATCTGGGGTGCTGGTTTAACAGATTCAGATTTGCTAGGTCTAGGGTGGGGCTAGGATTGTAGTAGCCCCAGGTGATCTTTCAGTTGGGTGTTCAAGAAATACCGAACTAGCTCAGCAGTTAGCAAACTTTATTTGGGCATAAGAATGGGGGGTGGGAAGGAGAAAGGAGCTGTCTAATGCAGATTCCCAGGTCCTGTCCCTGAACCCTGAGTCGGCAGGGCTCAGGAATCAGGTGACTGCAGCCACAATTTGAGCAACACTGGTCTACACTGTTTGAGCTGCCTTCCAGCCCTTCACACACTGCCCTGACCACCTCAAATGAGCCAGAGGAGTTGTGTTAATGGAAAGGCCTGGAGGGTCCTGCTTACACCCAGTGCTAACTCCAGACTCCCTGTCAATGTTTTTAAAAAGTTACTTGTTTTAAAATCTTGGAGTTGTGCAATAGTGAACACTTCTGTTCTTACAATTTTCTCCTCTGTGCTGTCCTGTTTCCTTTGGATAAGACATAATGTTTGCTAAACATAGTTACCTCTGGTGTGCATGAGGCACAGTACCAGCAACATAGGGATCCACCGAGGAAGGTTGTTAAAAATATACAGAGATTGGACTCCCAGACCCAAAGATTCAGTAAGTCCTATACAAGCCGTGGGCATCAGTCTTTGTTTTTTTGTTTTGTTTTTTACTGTTCTTGTTTTTTCTTTTAAATTTGAAGGGCCTTATGGGGTTTTTTAAGGTTTTGGTGAAGATTGCGGGTTCCACCCCTCTCCTCCCAATCTCACCCCAAACTGACAGGGTTAAAAACTACTTTAAGTGTAAACACATGTTCGGTACTAGGGGTTGGTTGGATCAAGCCACTTAGATTGTAGAAGAATCTATAACACATACCTTGGGGGCCTTAGAGAAAAAAGCTGGTCTTCTGAGACTAAGACGGGTTCCTGAAGTTTAATGCTGAACACATTTTAATATAAATCTGCCCTGTAGAGTTTCTATTTGTGCCTCTTTGGTTCTATTTCCTGTTTAACAAAGATTAAATAACATTGTTAAATGAAAGTTTAGTAGATCATCCACCTAAGTCTAAGTTAGGAAGGTTCACTTTTTCCTAATGACTAACTTAACGTAAAAAGTGTGCGTTCCTAGAGGAAAAAGTCCTGTAGCACTAAAGGGCATAGAGCAAAAAATGAAGTCTCTCCTTCCAACTCACCCTTATCTCCAGAGATAAGCACTGTTACATTTTTTACACATCTTTGCGGAAATTTTTTTGCACAAACAATATATATCCATTGTTTATTTAATGGGTCTCCTATTGATAAAAAACTTAAGTCCTTCTAAGGTGGGTTTTTTTCCTTGTTTTGCTTTGTAATACTGTGCTAAGTGTTTTTGTACATTTTTTTCGGTAACCATATATGGATAAGTTTCTAAAAGCAGAATTGTTGGGTCAAGGTTATATGTGTCTTTAAATAAGGGTAGATGGGAACAAAATATCCTTCTAAAAGTTTGTACCGTTTTACTGGGGAAATCCTTTATTCTCAGTTGATTCTGATGCAGCAGGTAAAGAGCTAACTACCTTGTCTACTTAAAACCTGAGACTCACTTCAGGGTGCCTGGTTGAAGGAATTAAGTGGAATGTTTCGTAAGGAAAAGAAGAATTTAAAAGGTATCTGAAGTGTGTTCAGAAGGGGAAGAGAATAGAAAAAGGCTAGGTAAAGCATGTAGCTAACCCCAGATTCTCAGGGAGAGACTTCGAGTCACAGGAGGTGACAGAACCTGAGCTCGATTCTGCAGAAAATAAGACAGCGTGGAGCAGGATGTTCTAGTGAGAAAATCCTGCTCTAGATTTGGGTAAACTGTTTCCTGGGCATGACCTCCTTTGGTAGATGCCGTAGGGCATTTTGGGGTGAGGCACTGTGGTGATGAGATGCTCTTCATTTTCAGCAACACCTCTAATATGAGTCATGGGGTATCTGTATGTCTGTTTCAAAGTAATGTTTAAATCGAAAGAATTATATCTCAGTAGTCACTCACTCAGACTGTGTGCATCTCCTTAGTGTTTGAGGAATAACTCTACAGATCAGGAGCCAGGTAGCATAGGGGTGCTGGTTTAGTATGGCAGATGCCATCTAACCCATCTAGCTGCCTTCATTTTGCCTCCTACTGGCAACAAGACAGGAGAGGATCTTATAGACACAGAAGATAAGTTGAGTCTATTCAAGCATGGGAAGTTCAAGTCTATTGAGGGCAGGGGAGAACTGGGAGGTGTTTTGGGTTTACATGTCAGTGGGTGTCAAATCTTAAAGGTTGGCTAAGGATGGCCAGGTATACTGTGAGTTTAAGGGAGCTATCCACAGTCCCCAAAGAGCAGCAAGAACCTCAGGTCAGAGCTAGGCACATTGGGGAGAAAGGGTACATGTTCTTCCTCAGCACTTAGGGACCAAGTGCCCTCTCAGACTGGTCGTGCTTCAGCCACATCACATGTGGCCGGGTTGAAGACAGCCAGGAATAAAACAAGCTCCAAAGACTGTAGCTCCAAATCGAATGATTCTCTGTGTTTAATCAGTATAATTCAATGATCCAGATGACTAGAGAGCTTTCCGGCAGTGTCAAGGAATTTCGTGTTAGAAACTGAATTTTTGTGGGTGTGAGATATTTATGAGTGACACACAGTGTGAGCTAGGTATGCTGAACTGGGCAGTGGATGAAAGAATGAAAATATATGGAGCTACCAGAAGGATCAAGTAGTAGTAGGAAGGAAGAAAGAAGTGATCGTGAATGTGTTTTAGCAAGTAAGTTGGAGATGAAATAAAATGTCCAGTGACCAAGATATTTTCAGACTAGGAAGGTAGCCGTGAAAATAGGTGAGACAAACCGGAGCTCAAATTTGAAGGCAAAAACAGAAGAAAAGTACACAAGCTTGGCTACGTGGAATTGAATTCTGTTTGCTTTAGCCTTAGTAATAGTCAGTCTGATTTTTAAATCTTGTAGTTTTAAAATGTTCATTTTAAATTATAAATTGAATAAGCAAAATGAACCGAGCTAAAAATTTATCTATTTCTCCTATAAAAAGTATGCTATTGATTCAACATTTGGTTTAAAGCAAGACTCATTTGCTAGAATTTATTATTTGACATTTATTTAAGACCTTTACTTGAACTGAGCCAGAGGATAGAGGCTGTGCGATATTAACCTTGGAAGACATTATTCCTCTTTTCATATATATATATATATATATATATATATGTATATATCTTTATTGATTTCAGAGAGAGGAAAGGAGAGGGAGAAACATCAACGATGAGAGAGTCATTGATCGGCTGCCTCCTGCGTGCCCCCTCCACTGGGGATCAAGCCCACAACCCGGGCATGTGCCCTGACCAGGAATTGAACCCTGATCGCCTGGATCCTATGTCGTCGATGCTCAACTGCTGAGCCACGCCTGGCTGGGTGACATTTTTCCTCTTAAATATTACAGTAGAGTTTTACACAAAGAGTAAAGTCCTGTTACTTTGTGTAGGCTTTATTAGACTGATTACATTTTTTTTTTCCAAACCTCACTGCCCTTTTCTCTCCCATCTCATCCCCAGCGCAAACTTAAATCAATACCATTTAAACCACATAACAATTTTGAGACCTTTGCATTTGTTATTTCATGTCAAGGGCAGAAAACCCCTGGTCCCCTGGACCATTATGGCCTGAGTTTTTTTATATGATTTATGGCAATTCAAATATTGGAGAATCTTTTCATATAAAGAACGTCAAAAGGGATTTAAAGACCAGTGACTGACAACAAGAAAGCCTGTACTCTTTCAGGGGTTCGTACTCAAATTATAATATAAAGCAGTATATGATCACGAAAGGGCAAGAGAAAACTTTTAAATTTATCTGTGTCTGGCATGACATGAGGTCCTTTTCTAATTTCATTAATTTCTAGGAGGAATTTTCTCAGATGAAACTAGAGTCTTAAAAACAATTTACTTGCCCAAGGTGGTGCGGCTGCTACTCAGTGGCAGAGCTGGCGGTTGATCTGCTCCGCCTGACCTTAAGTCCTTGCATATCCTCCTAGTGAGTTCCCCGAGGCACTGTCCCTGAAGGCTCCGGTTCTGTTTCTTCAGCCCCTTTGTCTGCGCCTTCCTCTGTGCATCTGTGCTTAAATATCCAATAGGAACCTCAGATTCTTTATATCTGAGGCTGACTCCTCCTCTACCCCAGCCTCCACCTCCTGCCTCTCTTCATTTGCCTCTCTTGTGAATGATCTTACTGGCCATGAGAAGGAATGAAAAACCGGAATAAGGTTTTCCTTGGCTCCCCCTGTTAATGCCCATGGCCAGCTGATTGCTGTCAAGTCCTTGTGGTGATGCCTCCTTTCTATACTTCAGACGCTATTCTCTCCTTCCCCGGCTACCGCCCTGCGTCCAGCCTTCACCAGCCCTTGCCTTACATTACTACAGCAGGCTCCAGTCTGCTCCACCGAAATGCGTTCTCTCTCCTGCTTTCTCAGAAGGACTGGTCTGAAACAGGGATCTGATTTTCTAATCCCTTTGGCAGCTGCCTCATGGCCTGTCAGCTGAAATACGAATACCTCAGCGTGATTCAACTGGAACCCTCAAGGTCTGATCTCGGTCTGCCAACTCGGTTCTTCCCCTGCCTTCTTTGCTTTGCGCCGTGTCCTCCAAATCCTTGCCTGCTGTCTGTGGAGCTGATTCAGAACTCACGGTGCCTGCAACACCTCCTGACTCACGGGCAAATCCTTTTCCACCAGCCTTGTCTCTTCCCCCTTGCTGCCCCTCCCACGTGCTGCCTTCGTAGCACCATGTGCACCTCTGGTAGCACTCACCAGTGACTGTCACTGTTTCCCTCGCCGCTGGGTGTGTGGTGGGGGAGGGGTGCTGTGCCCCCTTGCGACTCCAGGAGCCTTGCTGCGCCTGACACGCAGAGGCACCAGTGAGCATTTGTCTCATGAATGAAGCAACAGAGGAGAGATTCTCCTGACTTCACTCTGCCTCTGAGCTGCTGCCCTGCCCTAGGTGCCTGTGCCGCTTACTGCCCGTTCCGCCTCCATTCACGCTGGGGATTCCTGTGCTCAGTCCACTGCTCTGTACTGACTCTGCCCAGCCAGAGTGTGCTGCACTGAGCCAGTTTCCTCTTTGGTAAACGCGAGTGCCGAGCGAGCTCCTCTTGGGTCCTCTCGCCATCCCAGCATCCTGTGATAACAGGACTCTGTTCCAGCGTGCCTCCCTGCAAAGATACAAAATGTGTATCTTTGCTTCTGGCCACACAAAGAGCCCATTTGTCCCGTGGTGGGTTGAATACAGTTCATTATTGCTGGTAGTTTTATTGGTTTACGTGCAGGGCGTGGAGTTTCTCTAAGACTGACACAGGAATACCCTGAGATACGTGAGCAGTATCTCAGGCCCCGGGTGAGTCAGAGGAAGGTGCTGTTGGAGTGTTTAGCCTGCCGGCCTGGCAGAGGCGACTGCCTCTCGGGCAGGGGGGTGAGCTGGCCGCCGATCCGGTCTACTTCCTCATTTGTTGTGTGGCTTTTGGTAAGTCTCTTCAGTAAGTCTCTTCACCGCTCTCCCATTTCAGCCAGACTGTGTAAATATGTATTGTAGTGCTTTGTGATCATTAATGTTGTATGAGATGTTTGAAAGGAACACAGATTACTTTTGTGCTCCTAATATTTGTCCTTGTGCTAGCCTAAACCTCTCACTATTTCTTATCAGGTTTCTAGGTATTTAGCCTCCCTAGACTCCTAATGAACCACCTTTGGTCCTTTAAAAAATGTAAATTCAACGTGTGTGATTTCAGATGAACAAATATGTGGGTTTGAGTGTACTGGCTACTGGCTGGAAAGGAGACAGTTGTCCTCCCACTTCCCTGTCAATTTGAAAGTAATCATGACTGTAAACAGACTGAATCTGACTTTGTACTTTAACATCGGACCCTTTGGCAAGTTTCCCCGCCGTAGAAACTTCAGATCCATAACACTGACTTTGTCACAGTGTCAGCCACTGTGAGAAAGAAGGGTATGGTGGCTGCCCCTGAGCTGTGGGCTGGGAGAGGAAGGTGAAGCGGAGTGTAGGTCTGAAGCGTCGGGGGTCCTTGGCCAACCTCAGATACCCCAGGGTGCCAGACACAAGGCTCTCTGTGGGGAAGTGAAAGTTCCAGTTCACCTGAATTCTGCCCATGTGAGCTGCTTGATGTCATGGAAAATCCATATTTAATTTGTGGCTCTGTGTGTGTATGTGTCTATATCATGGAAGACTTCAGTATATTGCTCAAAAATAAATATAATCTTTCATTCCCTGAACATTAAAATATTTGAACACATTTATTAATTGAAGTAATTTCTTTTTCAATTAGCTCTGCATCAGAGGTTTGTCTAAATTGGAATGTCGCAAAAGTGGATAATCATATCTGGCCTATAGAAACTAAAACAATTAGGGGTGGAAGAGGGTTATGGAAAGTTGTAAGGGTTTACTGCTTATCATTTGATCCTTTGCATCTTAGAGATTAAATTTCTGTTATTTAAAAAATAAGAGTTCTAACAGCAAAGCATCTTAATAGCATTTGAGTGCAACGTTTGACTGAGATTGACATGCATAGTTTGAGTTGGAATGAAATTCCCCCCAGGTTGCTAGAGCCCTGCTTGTTAAACAAGGGTAGCTGCCTTCTCTGCGAGGCTGTTCAGAAGGATGCAGGAGGGTCTCCTTTTGCCCTTGGCTGGCTGACAGGCTGCTCTGGAGAAGCCCTCTCGGCGCTGGCCCGCACCTTGTGGCTCTTCCTCCTTCAGGTTCCTCCAGCTGACTGTGGAGGAGTGTGTTGCCTAAAGTGAATTTGGGTGGTTTGCAGGCTGCACATCTGTAGCCTGGGGGAAATTTGGGGGCTCTCTCCTGATTATATCCTTCACATTCCCTGGAGTGAACCAGTGAGCATAATGATCCAAGAAGATAAAGTCTGGACACATTGCAGTTGATAGCCTGAGGGCCTTCGAGTCCAGGTCACAATTTAAGTAGGGCCTCAAATTTAGAAGTTAACATATTACCCAAAGAATTAAGTGTAGAGCTAAAGAGAGAGCAATAGGATTAAAAGAAGATGTTATTCATCATATAATTTACACACACATTTAATTTATGTTACCATGTAATTTATTCAGTAGTTTTTATATTTAAATGTTTGTAAATTGTAAAATACTAAATATAGAAGAAATTCCATTTAAAAAATAACACGAGCCCAGCCGGGCGTGGATCAGCGGTTGAGCGTCGACCTAGGATCCAGGCGATTGGGGTTCAATTCCCTGTCAGGGCACATGCCCGGGTTGCAGGCTCGGTCCGCAGTTGGGGGCGTGCAGGAGGCAGCCGATCAATGACTCATCATTGATGTTTCTATCTCTCTGTCCCTCTCCTTTCCTCTCTCTGAAATCTATATATATATATA